TTAACACACATATTGGTAAAAGTGCAAAGTAAATTAAGAGGAAGAAAACTTAAGTAATAGCAATACTCTAGTCCTGAAGAGAATCTTAGGTTATTTAGAGGCCTTATCTAAATGTCATCCCTAAGTAATTGCAGAGATTCCTATTGAATGCAAAAGATTTTGAATCCAACTCAAAGGAAAAAAACCCCTCCACTTCTGCAAGCATAAAATGGCTTTCTTGAACATGATTAATCCTGCTAAACTTAGAGGGAGTCAATGGAACAAATCATATGGGTAATTCTTTGCAGGTTGGGGCCTTAAGTAACACTTTCCGTGGTCTGATGAAGAGGGTGTAATTCTTGAAAGGTTGGCTTTTGATTATTATTTTCTTCCCACCTGTAACTTTTGCATGAATCTTTTCCTTGATTTTCAGCCTTTTGTATATATTAGAAAACTCGCCCTCTATTAGTAACTTGGTTTCGGAAGGGGGTACTGAACTCAGTAGTACAGCTAGGTATATAAATGCTGTGTTAAGATGCCAGCTTTGTGTTGATCTTTTAGAAACTGAATGTAGCCTGGTGTTATATTAATTTAAATACATAAATTACCTTTAAAATAATCAGAATATAGGCATACTGTATTTTTGACTTTCGGCTTGTATTCTGGTTATTGAGAAGTCCAGTGGAAATGTGCACACCTAATAGATGAATATGAGTAAGTAACTTTCTTCCTGTGCAGTGAAAAAAATAGACAGTATTGACTTAAATCTCTACCATCCATGGTAATTCACAGTTTCTAGAATGAAAGCCTGACCAGCTGCACACCTCTAGCCCAGCAGAGTACTAAATATTGTATTTTTTTTTCTCCTCAGCTAATTGCACTTAAACGAAAGATTTTTCCAAGGAGAAGGATCCAAAAGGAAGTTGGTCATGAACGAATCAAAGTGTAGAAGAGCTTTATTTTGGAGATCAGTCTACCTCAAGATGTGATAAGCATTTAAAATCTCTCTCTCATCAGTGTCTTTTATGGTTTGACATTTAACTACGTCGATATGAAGAAAAAAAAATCATGCATCTACAGTTAGAATATCTGCAGTACTCTTCATAATCTACAAGCTGGTGGAGCTGTGACAATGCAAAGCAACACAAAAAATAATTGCAGGAAACCTGTACATAGGCAGTTTTCAACAGATCTTACTTTACAACTGTTAGTTCATGGCCATGTTATCCTTTTTTATAAAAAGGGTTACCTAAAGAAATGTAACTGCATTTATTGCAGTGGATGTTGCCAACTAGATAAAATGTTGGAAGGCAAAGTTGTTTGGGATCAGCTTAACAGGTCTTTGATCTTGCATTCCAAAACACTTTGCAAATTTCTGTCATTGCTGCTTTTTTTTTTTAGCCCTACGGGAAAATTGATAATTATGTAACTTGTCATTTAGGTTTAGTATACATTTATTGATGTTGATGTTTAAAGAACAGTGACAATTCATCCCCCTATTTGTAGTATTTAATTGGGATTTGAAAGAAATGTATGCTAATAAAATACACAGTAACAGAACAACTAATGGTTATTTGAAAGATATCTGGTGTATTATATTCCAAAGAATACAGTGGTATTATTCCTTGGCTTGATTACAAAGAGAGGGTTGTAATCAAATGAAAATGACCAAGGTATAGTATTTTACAAGCATTGTAAATACAAAAGCAAAAGTGCCTCTCTATATGAATGGATAACAAACTGTTTTAATGTAGCAATGTATGGGACAGTGTTTCACTTCAGAAAACAATATTTGTACTGACATGAAACTTTGGTGTTTTCAAATTTAACAGGATTTGGCTCTTATTTTGCTGAGACATCAGAATAGTGTGGTCTTATGTGGGAAAGGATGCCGAATCTTTTCAAGCTGAAATTTTTGGTGGTGTATCTTCAGTTAATTGTATTAGCAGTATTCAAAAAAGCATTAATTTTTGTAATCAGATGATGTACAAAATGTACGTGCATATGTATTGAAAGATACTTGGTTTTCTTTGAAAGTAACTAAAATGTGATGAAAGTTTTGTCTGTTGTTTCTGTTTTAAAGTAAACCAAAACTCACCCATTTTGGTAAATTAGCCATGAATGTGTATGCATCCTTATGTTATAAGTTCTTATTTGTCCCTTAAAAAGCTTCCAACAGTAAGAATTTAATATTAATTTGAAGCATGGATGGATTCGCAAAGTAGAATCAAACTTCTGAGCATTGTAAAAATGCAAGCATTTTAAATTATTAAGGTTACATTTCATGCTAGCAATACATATTATGCTGAAATGTAGATAAGTAAGTAGTTTACCTCAGACTAGCAGAAAATGAGACGTTTCAAGAAATGCAAGAAAGCTTTGATATCTTCTTACTCTTCAAAATATTATTAGGTAGATTCAAGTGAAAATTTTAAGGCAGTTTTTCTGCTGAAGTTATGTATAAACAAACAGATCACTTGGGTAGCTCAGCTGTCACTGCAATTCATTTTTAAGCAAATTTTTGAAGGTAGATTGATACGATTTTGTTTCACTACAGCAATAAGAGCCCAAAAGATGTAGCATGAACTTGCTGAGAAGCATTCACTGAAAATTGCTGCTAAAATCTGGGAAAAAGCAAGCAAGTGAAGCAGGGTAAGGATGTGAACAGTGTTGTGGTGGCAACTAAGCTCCTGGCCACAGCCTACATCCACCCGAACAACCTCTTTTGCATACCTTTTGTTGTCCGAATGAGAAATTTAAGCCATTTCTATAAAAAAAAGAATAAAAATAGATGAAGGTAGGTGAGGTTTAAACGAGTTTAATGCTGAACCTGCACGACGGGCCCGGCCTCCGCCACAGGTACCGCTCCCGCGGGCCCCACGGCCCCTGTTAGTGCGCATGCGCCCCCTCCCTTTTGTGCTGCCCGCCCGGCTTCCCGCCGTTTCCTCGGGGGCGGGAGCTGCTGAGGCGGGACCGGCTCCTGTCATCCCCGTCCGCCGCCAGGGCTGCAGAGGCTCTGGTGCGAGTGGAGGTGAGGGGTTTGGGGCGGAGCGGTGTTCCCTCTGCCTGCGGGAGGCCGTGAGGCTGGTGGGTCCCCTCCCTGTGAGGCGGCGGCGAGGCAGTGAGAGGGGAGAGGAGGCCATCGCAGGGCAGAGGGAGAGGGATGAAAGGGGTTTGGGCAGGGAGTAAGGAACAGGGTTAGGACGCTGCGGGGCCCCTCAGCCTTTCATACCCCAGTGGCTTCGCCCCAAAACCTGTTGTGGCGGTGGTGTGGGCCTGTCTCCCTTGCTGCTCTGAGGTAGAAATAGGTGAGACCCCACAGTGAAAAGCCCCATGTAGGAAGTTCACACAAATACTGGTGTATTTCATGTCTTTTGGGGCAGGGCAAAAAAAGGAGGCGAGTTTCTCTGAAAAAATCGTTGTTAAATGCACAACTGCGGATTGAAGATATTTGAATTGGCTGAAGCAGGTAGCTACACAGAATGGGTGAAGGCTGTATGAGGTTGTGAGGTGGAAAGATTGTTTTACAGTTTATGGAGGGACTGGGGTGTTCTGCTTTGTATACTGATTTTCAGTACAAAGAAAAGTGCCTGTATGTGACATAAAATATGTGCTTGCAGTTTAAAGTCAAAGCGCTTTGTTTGGCAGCACAGAGACATGCACAGCCAGATGCCATACTAGTACTTTCCTCCTTACATCATGTTTTCAACAGCCACAGTAGTTGAAAAGCAGAATGAGTTTTGAAAATTTTCTCTCATTTGAGGATAATTTTAATGCAGGAGTTTTTGATTTTGCAATTAATAATTTAATGAGGTTTTGGTTTTGTTTTTCAAGACACTTCTAACATCTAAAACATACTACATAGAGAAGCATCAACCACAGAAAAAGCTGTAGCTTAGTGTGATCACGTTGTGTATACCCATGTAATATGTGGTTGAAAAAGTATTTTCATAGCCATGGACAACTAAGTCAAAAAACAGAAATGGGAAACTCAGGTGTGCGAGTCAGCTGTTAATGTTGGGGGGACTTCACAGTCCTGGAAATTCAAAAGATCTTTACTGGAGTTCTCAATTTCAGTGCGTGAACTTAATTTTCAGATCTATCTTTGCCCTGGCTTGTGGAAAACCTATTGATATTACTAGCTGTGTTGAATTGCATCTAGAATGAGAAGTTTATCCACTGCTGAGTCACATCTTGTTCAGTTTGGAAAACAGGATACTTGCCGCTGATATTTTTTTCTGTGTTCTTTCCGTATTCCAAGTAATCCAGTTATTTTGTGAAGGATTTTTAAGGAAAAAATTTTGTCACTCCTGCATTTAATGATTACAAATATGCTCTTTTCCTTCTAAATAGATGTTTTACTCCTTGAATATTTGTAAAAATACACAGAATATATAAAAATTAGTATTACTAAAGTAAAGAAACGAATATTGGGGTTTTTTAAGAGGGCACTGTATTTATAAAACGTTTACAAATACAGAAACTGCATTAGTTACATTACAGAATGCAGAAGCATAATAGCTATAAATAAAGATAATTCAGAAAGTGAAAGTTGCCCAGGATTTTTAAAAATGGCGTGCGTGTGTGTGTGTATATTTGTCTCTCTAGCGTGGGATGGCTTGTAGAATCAGATTGTTCTTTATGGCTTATCATTTCTGTATTTTGTAAAATAGAATGTTGGCATAGCTTTTTGGGAATGCAGTACTGGATATGACAAAATACGTAATAAATATTATGAAAGCCGAGCAGGCAGGCACCTTAAGAAAGTGTATCATTTACTTCCTTGTTTTTCAGCGGAATCAAGTATGTTCCTATTAGCCCTCGTATTTTATTTTTTTTTTCCCTGTTCTTAAAAACACTACTGATGGGTAATCCTGTGGATTACCTCAGAACTAAAACAGTTTGACTGCTTGAATATCCTGACAGGTGGAGACTGTTACAGGGTTGTGTATAACAGCTCAACATAAGCATGAAAATATTGTGGGGAGTTAGGTAACAAATACAGCATACCGTTTCAGTAGGAAGAAAATCTCATTATGGCACCATCGGGAAGAAAGCATGGAGGAAAAGCTGGTAAACCAGCACAGGAAGATCAAGCCATACCTGCCTATGACTTTCAGGAGGAAAGAAAAGAGCTGAGTGGATCAGAGGAAGATATTAGAGAAGGTGCTTATATGATATTTTTTATACTTTTAAATATGAAGTTTATAATATTTCTGACTATGAATAGAAATGAAGATGCTTCTGTGTTAGCGAGTGTTTGAGTAAGTGTGGTTCATAATGTTTGTGACAACTAGCCTCCAATTGTATAATTTTGATTGGTAAGAGAAGAGAACACAATAGAGTAGCTCTGTATAGTGCACTATTATGTCTTAAAATTATAGGTGGAGTCTTTAATAGAGTAGGATTTTGTTACCTTATTCTAATGCCATATCCTTCTATCACCTGGCTGCATATAACATTGTGAGATCAGGATAGAACAGAAGAGCTCCGCTTGCTTACATGGATTGCTGCGTCGGGTAGGGTAGTTGGAGTCATAACGCTGGCAGGGTTAAGAGTACTTCAAGAAGAATCTGAACCAAAGAAAAGAAAGAGGGAGAAGCAGAGAAAGCTGGGGAAAAAAGAAGAGAAGGCAACCAAGAGATTCTTGTTTAATTTTGAGGGAGTGTCATAAAAAAGCAGACTTTGTTTAAAAATAGAGTTCTCATTCATCAAATGATAGTTTTTTGTAAAGTTTGATGTAACTCCATTTCTGTATTTTTGTCTTTCAGCAGTTATCTCTGGGTTTGTTTCTCTTAAATTCTCCCCTTCGTCATTTATTCAGACTAAATTCCTCCCCCACCCCTCATTAATAGAATCTGACAGCCAAGGATTTTTATTCTTTGGAAAGAATATAAATATCTATTTGTGATTTTGCTTTCAAAGTACACAATTTCAGTACTTATTTTAAGTACTTATTCTTACAGATTGGGCTTTTTCAATTTTTAGATTATTTTTACCTTTCTGATGATTGTTATATTGTGAGTTGGGAGTAACTGTAGTACTGGACAGAGAAACTAAAACTGGTTGAGACCAGTCTAGAGGAACTCAAGGCAGTGCCAGCTCAAATGTAGCCTTGCAGAATAATTCACCACCATCTGTCAACTCCAGATTCAAAGTTTTAGGAGCTGCATGTGTTATGGACGGGAACCGAGACCCATGAGACATGTTCAGAGAAGTGGCATTACAGAAAAGTAATTATACTTTTAATAACTCAAATGACCCCCCAAAACATAAGATATTTTTTAAAATCTTTTTGAAATTTATATTAAGGCGAAACACCGGTAATGGACAAGCATGGAAAGAAGAGAGCTTTGGTGACTACTCATGTCGTTCCAGATGATGTGGGGTAAGGTTAGGATTTTTTTTTAAACCGATTTCAGTTATTCATTATGCTTATTTTGCCTGGGATTTTTTGTTGTTTTTTTTTTTTAATACTTGATTCAAAAATCAGGTGACAGATAATACAGCAGTTGTAGGTAAAAAAAGAAAATGTAACATTTTAAAATTAGTAATTCTGCAGTTTCTTTGTAGATACTTTTGAACATGCATAAAAAAAGATTATTTATGTGAGTTCTTAAAATTCATTTCTTTCAAAATATTATTTAAGTTTTATCCTAAATTGTTGATCATTAATGTTTTTCCCTCTGATCTTAGTTGCTTGAAGATATTGACAGTACTTTAAATATCCAACTATTGCATGGAAAATAAATTCTCTTTACAGATAACTCTCATGAAATTCAATATTTATGGGCAGTGTAAACATAATAAAAAAGTGTATGTTGAAATAGTTTCTAGCAAGATTATTGCTGTTGAGTTGAAGAGACCTTTTTTCCTTTTTTTTTTCTCTTCTTTTACTCTTCAAAAAAGAAAGTGCTATCCTGTGGAGAAGATGCTATAAAAACAGGAAAAACATTTTCTTTACCCACCATGTCCCTTTTTGGATTTATCAGCTATTGTACCACTGCCTTAAACACTGGTGTTATCATCTTGAAGGTGTTGTAAAAACAACCCTGATATTATTTGTCTTGAATTTTTCTTACTGTGCCAGTCATGCTGTGATGGACTTGTTTTTATTTGATATTGCAAATACCTTTTGTGTTTTCTTTTTGTATGGGGAATGATCAATTTTATTTACCATCGTCCCTCACTCAAGACCTTTTAAATGCCTAATGCTGCCTTTTTACTGCGGAGTAAGTTAATAGATTTTAGTAAATGTTTTTGAAAAAAGAAAATTAGTCTATAAAAGAGACCCCTCACAGGAGGAGAAAAGGAGTGTCATTTTTTATCTTGTAGAAAAGTAGCATCTCTGTCACTGCTTACAAGTGATAGGTACGTGATTAAAATTAGTTTTAAGCATATACAACAGGTCTTATTCTGAAGTCAGAAAGTGGGCAAATAAAAATTTTAAACACTGTTTTGTAGGGGTGAAGTACAGAATATGCTGGAAAGATTTGGAGGTAGGTATGTTTACATTCTAATAAATTAAAAAGCAATTCATGTTTAAGTTGCAGAATTGGCAGTAATTCCTTACCATAAAATAACTTTCAAAATTTAGAATTACCAGTCTTTCTAGCGTTTTTCAGCATTTCTGAAAAAAGCTAGTTTTCAGAAAAAAGGTTATATTTAAGTAGAGCAAAGAGAAAGAAGAGAAGGGAGAAACTGCGTATAAAGTGAGATGTACTAGTGTAAGTAATTACAAAGGAAAAAGGGAAAGATGCACGAGTGCTTTTGATTATCAGTTCCAATTAAGAAGAAGTTTAAGAGGCAGTGATTATATTGTAGAGAAAAGGGACAATATGACTCAGCTGTTCTTACTTAATTTTTTGTTGCAGTGACGTAGAAGAGACTGGGGATTGCAAGACTTGAGTAAGAAATTAGGGGCATGTAAATGTTAATATAAGCAGCTAAATAGAACAAATAGTTATAATTCTAAACAAGGAATTTTGGAAGTAGATTGTAGTTGTGATACAGAATGAGCTAGAGAGTAGTCTGTACTCCGCACCTTCAGAAATCTAGAGAACAGGCAATCAGTAGAAAAGAGAATTTCAGCAGTCAGGAGGAAGAATACAAGTATCTAGAAGAGCTAAAGAATGAGGGTGAGTAATGCCAGTCATCTAGCGATGAGACATTTATACATGTTACCTAGTTGGATTTAGTTTAGTCATAATCAGATCATCAGATGGCTTTACTTAGAGTTAAATTTCCAGCTGAATACTAGATAGCGGACAGGTTAGAGAAAAACCACATTTCGCTTGTAAAGAATGTATAATACATGTCACCGTGTAACAAAGCATCAAAAAGCTGTGGAAGGAAGGGAAACCATTTTAATGCCAGTATTATATACTTAATAGCTGATTAATACTTTCATTTTTTGTATAAGAAAATGCTGTACACAGTCATTACTTGCATGTAAATCTTGAGGTGAAAGAGGAGTTCAAGGAATTCCTTAATCCATGAATTAAGACTTTTTGCTGTTAAGTTACATATTAGAATGCTATTGTAGATCTAGCAATCTAGGTAGGAGGAGGATTTCAGTGTTCAGAAGCTAGGACTGCTTGTTATTGAAGACTCAAAAATAGGAGGGAAGGAAGGAAAATTAATGGATCAGAGAAAGGATGCTGTCTGCTCAAAAATAATAGGTTTGGCATTAGCAGGGCCAGATGCCTCAGCAAATTAGAGAGAAGTTTGACAGATGTTTCCTGAAATCTACAGTGAGAAGGAAAGGAAATTGCTGTATTAACCTTAAGCTGTGACTTGTTTGTTAGATCTCCAAATGTAAATTAAAGTGAAACAAACATACTAACTTATATTAACCTGAATACTTTTTAAAAAGTATGAAGTCTCTCCAAAGTATGAAAAATAGTTTGTCATTCATTCATTCCATATGTTCACAGTGGTAGTAATTACATACTACCTTTAATTTATTTCTAAAATCTATGTAATTTGAATATTACTCTGAAATGTGTGGTTTTTCTAGGGAAAAAAAAGTGTCAGCATAACTAAATTCCTTGAAGGTCTGGAAACTGAGCTGGCACTGCAGTCATGCAGCTAAACTAATGAGGCTTTGATGGTGTGACTAAAACATCATTAGATACTAGAGAAAAGACCAAGGTGTCTGTACTCAGATTTGTGCAAGGTATCTCTAGCTTTGAATAGAGAATTTACAGACTGTGAGATGTCCAAATACGATGTTTTGAAGATACGCAGTGTGAACTGATTGGATAGTGCTTCTAGTGTTTCAAGCACGTATGTGTGCTTATTGTATAGATGACATGTTAGATAAGTGCCCGTTGGACCGTAATAATCAGTAGGGGAACACACGATGACAGTGTGTAAGGAACCAATTTAAATGTACATAATGGAAGCACTGCAGCTACCCTGAGTTCAAACTGCTGGACAGTTTCAGTTCACTGTGTGTGTCTGCTCAGAGCTAGTCTGACACTGTACCCACTACCATCTTGCCTAGAATGAAAGAAGCTAAAGTTGTGTCACATCATGGTAGGTCCTATTTGGTCTGGCCCCTGAGAGAGGAGGGACTCGAAGCAGATGCTGGAGTAGCTGGTGGGGCTGGGCAACAAGCAGTTGCAACTCCAGAGGCCAAGTGTTGGTTAGGGTGTACGGGAGGCTTAGGGAAGCAGCACTCACACCAGCGCCAACAGCAGGTTGAGGGACACCAAACACAGCAGCCAGGAGCCCAGATCACATTAGCTTCTTTCCATTAGAATACACCTCGTTCACTTCTCCAAAGCGTAACTCCTCAGCATTTTTAATAAAAGGCACAATGTATCTCAGTATGCTTAATGTCTAAATATTCTTTGATTTTTAGCTGACATTAACAAGGCTTTGTTAGCTAAGAGGAAAAGATTAGAAATGTATACGAAAGCCTCACTCAAAACCAGTAACCAGAAGATTGAACATGTTTGGAAAACACAGCAGGAGCAAAGGTAACATTTACTCTTGTTTTTCAAACCTGTGAAATCAAATTCCCTTTTGTGTCATCGCATCGATAGTTGGTCCATCTTCTTGCAGTTAAATAGCAAGTAGCATATCTACTAGTTAAGTATCTACTGATGTCCGCTGTTTCTGCTGCCTCCAGTTGTGTCCACTTGGTTAAATTGACTGTAGAAGTTTAGCACAGTGCTTTTTCTTCTGAATGGAGAATCTTAAGATTTGGAATTTTGAGAGCAAGGTACCTTAAAGAGCTGGTTTTACTTTTGTTTTATCTTTATGGAAAATTACCTTTGATGTTATCTTTGTCTTTTAAACCAATGTTTTTATTTTTTCCACTTCAGTTGGAATTTTATGTTTCTACTTGAAACTGAAAAATGTTCAGTAAAACTTTTATACCATTCTGATTAAAAAAGAATTTTCATTTTCACATTGTAAATCATTTTCACCCTACATAACATTCCTCTTGCCTCTTAAGGCATATTTAATTACTACATCTGTTACTACATGTAGAACAAACTAAAAATGAGACAGCTAAAAACTGAAAGTCAGCAATACTTATAACTGTCTTGGTGGTTTTATATATATATATATTTGCAACTTGCATTGACAAAATTGAAGTTTACACAGAGAAACTAGAGCATATGAACTAATGAATGAGCTAATCAATTTTTCATTATAAACCCCTTGTGTTAAAGCCAAGATGTGTAGTTGGGTTAGAAAAAATGTAGTAAATCTCAGAAAACCTGACACTGTTAGGAAGAAAAGTTGTAATTTTTTTTTAACCTGAGTTTTGTATATGAGTGCTGTCTCCTTATATGTATATAATCTATATTCACTCAGAAAGTGTGTGTGTATATATGTCTGTTCGGTTTTTCAAAACATACAGTATTCAGTTAGGGCCAGATGTCAAACTAGGCTGTTTATCTATGCCAGCTCCTTTTATTCTACTTTATGTGCGTGTTGAACTTTAGCTTTCCTTGTAATTCTTTGTAGCATTTGTCATACTTACGGCTAGTGTCTGTTCATAGGCAGAAGCTCAATCATGAGTTCTCCCAGCAGTTCCTGACTTTATTTCAGCAATGGGATGTAGATGTGCAGAAAGCAGAGGAGCAGGAAGAAAAACTAGCGGTGGGTTTCCAGCATGGTATGAGTTTCATTGTATTTTCACAAGGCGGGAATATTGCTGTTCAGACACTCAAGAAATGTAGAAACACTTCATGTAGTTCAAACAAACGTACGATTGTTTGCCTGTTGATTAAAAAAATTCATTCAAGTTGGGTGGCTCTCAAACTGTAAATGTTTAAGTTTTGGGATATAATTTAAAGTGAAGAGGGGTGCATTTATAAACTTTATTGCAGGTTTATAAATGGCAGTAAGTGATGCCCTAGGCCAGCCAGCATATGGCTTGAGAAAAGCCAAGACCACTTACAGAGAAGAAAGATGTGTGCTGTTTCTGTGTATCCATAGTCTTTGGGTTCAGGGAACAAAGGACTAAGGGAAAGTAATTGTCTTTTAGCATGCATTGTTTAAAAATATGCCTGTATATAATAAATGTATGAGAATTTGATCATTGAAAGGAGACAGGAGCTATACAATGGAATGTAATCACATCATGTTGCTGTATTTGTACTCCCAACACATTTGCAAGTTTTGCTTTTCCCTAAGCGGTACATTTCCCTGGGATACCCTTGAGAACTGTGTTGGATAGCAATCCTCATATGATCTCATAAGGATAATTCAGGTTGGAAGGGACCTCAGGAGGTGACTCAGGGCTTAATCCAGTCTTCAGTCTTTCTTTCATTAATAAGAACAAGGATAACTCTCCAGGCAGAGATCTACATTACATGACCCAGATTTCCACTGAGGGCAGAATTTCTCATTCTGATAAATGACATTAGTGTTGCTGTCCAAGTGCTTTTGGTTAACTAATGTGATTATTTTTTTCTTTTGCTTCTGCTTCAGAATATGTTTCGTCAGCAACAAAAAGTTTTTCAACAGGCAAGAGTAGTTCAGAGTCAGAGACTGAAAACCATTAAGCAACTCTATGAGCAATTTTTAAAGGTACAGTAAATTTTCTTCTTAGAAGGCAGCTGATCCTTATCATATCACATAAGAAAGCTGTATTAATTCAACTTTTATGAAATACAGAGATTTAAGGTTCATTTAGGGAAAATAACAGCCTTGCATGAATATTTATGTTAGTATCTTTCCCTTATTTGTTAAGAACATGGCTTGTTCTCTCTATACATGCATACATATTGCATCTGTTTAATAAATTATTTAGTTAAATGTGTTCTCACAGGGATCTGATTGGCTTGCCTGTTTCAAATATTTAACCAGAACCCTCAGAGCATACTTTCTAAACAGAACACAGTTCTGTACCAGTTTAAAGATTATACAGGTCAGTTAAATCATCAGGATTTTGTCTTAATTATTCCCTTAGATTTTTCATATGTATTTAAAAAAGGGAAACTTGACAATCTATTAAAAATACATCTTAGGATGCAATCTACTGCTTTTATTATGGCTGGCAGGTGCATCCCCCATAACGACAATTAGATGCCAATTTTTTTCTGTCATTAACCTTTCTAGCTATTGCTGCTTCTTGTAAGGAAAGTGACACTTGAAGAAAAATCAATTGTAATTCCCTTAAAATTGTCCAGTTAGAACTCCCTTCATCTCTTCCTAAGCAACATTCAGTAGAAAGTGTTTTCTTTTCTGTAACCTGGTATTCAAGGTAAGCATTCACTAAAATGTCAGCAGGAAGAATCTGATGGAAATCATGATTTATGGTGAAAACAGGCCCAGCTGGATGGTTATGTAATCAGTCCTGTTTAACTTTCTGTTGCTTTATGCATAATTTTTGTGTTTGCTGGGAGTCCCTACAAACACCATTTTTTGGGACAGTGCTTAGAGGGATAATGTATTTTAAACACATGATTAGTACTGATCAACTGTGGTGTGTTTTGATTTTTTTTTTTTAACAAAGTAGCTAACAACCTAGACAGCAATCAAAAAATGATTGAGTACAACTACTCAAAAATTTGACTTTTTCATAAAAAAAACCAAACAGTCTTTCCCTGTCATTTTACACTTAAGAACAAAACACTTTATTCCCAGAATTTCCTTCCCCACTATTTTTCTAAAAGTAAGGTATTAGAAGTCTAAACTGAGAAAAATGAAAGTACCCTAAACGATTGGTTTTGTAATAAATGCAGAGGCACAATACCATAGAATCACTGAAGGGCTGAGGTGGGAAGGTCAGCAGGTGGTTCAGCAGGGCTAGCTAGAGTCAGTTGCCCAGGACTTATGTCCAGATGGCTTTTGAATATCTCCAAGGATGGAGACTCCACAGCCTCTCTAGGCAGCCTGTTCCAGTGCTCAGTCACCCTCACAGTAAAAAAGTGTTTCCTGATGTTCAGAGGGAACCTCCTGTATTTTCAGTTTGCCTCTGGTCCTGTCACTGGGCACATCAAGAGCCTGGCTTGATTTTCTGTGCACCCCCTCTTCAGGTATTTATGTATATAGACAAGATCCCCCTGAGCCTTCTCTTCTCTAGCTGAACAATCCCAGCTCTCTCAGCCTTTCCTCCTAAGAGAAATGCTCCTGTTCCTTACTCATCTTTGTGGCCCTTTGTTGGGCTCTATCCAGTATGTCCATGTCTCTCTTGTAGTGAGGAGTCTGGAACTAGACGCAGCACTCCAGGTATGGATTCACCAGTGCTGAGTAGAGTAGAAAGATCACCTTTCTTGATGATGGCAACACTCCTAATGCAGCCTAGGAGCCTGTTAGCTGCCTTTGCTGCAATAGCACACTGTTGGCTCATGTTCAACTTGGTGTCCACCAGGACCCCAGGTCCTTTTCTGCCAAGCTGCTTTCCAGCTGTGTGGCCCCCAGTATATACTGGTACATGGGGCAGATTCAAGTCTGTCAGTTTCTGATAAACCTTAGTTTCTGTTCAAGTCATTTTCTAACTGGTCCCTTTTTGAAATTCTTTAAGTTATGATATGGGGGTTTTTTTCAAGTCTGGTAGCTTTGAAAAATAAATCTGAAACAGAGCAACTCTTAGTTTAAGATAGACGAAATTTACAGAGGATATTACAGAAGAATTAATAAATAATAACTGTTCCAAAATGTCTTCATCAAAGATGAAGAACTGAACAGAAGGCCAAGTATTACTTCGATTTTTCTCCTCAAAGAAGATCAAAAGGTAGAAATCAAGCCTCAAATAAGCTTCACTAAATACAAGTCAAGGAAAATGCAACTACACACATAGAGTTAGGCATAACTGTGTATACAAAAGGGAGGATAACCAGCAAGCTTTACTTGGCTTATGTGGGGAGAAGTGTGCAAAAAGAAGGAAATTTAATGGGTTTTATAGTCCTTACTTCAAGTCTCCAAGGTTGTCATAACATTTAGACCCTATCATTCCTGACAGATGTCTGTTTAATCTTTTCCCCCAGAACTCTTATCTTTACTGAAATGCAGGATAACTAGCTGAGACCTCACAGATGCTAAGTGGAGGGGACTGTTTCCTTCACAGGGTCTGTATTGTTTCACAGGGTCAATATTGTTTGTTTAAATAATAATGTAGACTGGAGTATCAAGTCCTGTATGATTTGTCTCTCAAGTTTGTGACAAAACTAATGACTTATCAGTGACCACTGCTGCTATAAAAATGAAATTGTAGTCTGAATAACGGTTTGTCTGTTTGTTTTAAATTAACCCTCTGACATTGAACAGTTCTGAATTAAGATTATCCTTAACTTCAGAGCATGGAAGAGCTGGAAAAGAGCAATGAAAATCTTCTAGCTGGTGCACAAAGTGAACTTCGCAAAGAAATGGCAATGTTGCAGAAGAAGATTATGATGGACACCGTAAGTGTCAGATCTATGAAGAAGTTAGTTAAATGCAAAATAGAACATTCTTTATAGAAGTCATTTGACATTCATTTAATTAACTCAAAGGAATCAGATTAATATGGCATTTGTTCAGTATTATCTCCTTTTCTTGTAACAGCAACAGCAGGAGATGGCAACTGTTCGCAAGTCTCTTCAGTCCATGTTATTCTGATGGCTCAATGGAGAAACAACTTGTACCTAAGTGACACGATACAAGTATAGGCATTAGCCATAGAGAAGTATGTTAAGATTTAAATGTTTTAAAGTTCCTATTAAGCATTTTCATGGATTGTTCTAATCTTGTGTCTGATAATGTTGTAAGAACATATATTAATAAATTTATTACTTTGGGGGGGTGATATGGACCCCAAACCATTTACTGTCTGTCCAGTTAATCTTTAACTACTTAATACTTACTTCCAGTAGCATCAGACTGTTTAAATTGTTTCACTTTTTATAATGCCAAATTGTAACAATGAGCAGAATTAACGAAAAATGCATTACCCAGATTTTACATAATAACTGTAGGCCTTTAGGTACATTGTGCAAATAGAAGCATTTTTCACAAGCTGCAGACTTTAAGATTTTCATAGTTTCAACATTTAGTCTGCTGACATATCAGCAATTATAAAAGTTCACAGAGTATGACATAGCTCATATAAGATAGTTTAATGATGTGCATTATAGTAAATTTTAACTGTCCTGTTAGGCTAGGCTTGTAATATCTTTGTACTAGTAAGAGATTTATGAACTGCTGTAATTTGTCCAAAAAGCAGGTTTCTTTAGTTGAACGATGAGCTGAGTATCATAGCTTTATATGACATCTGCTCAAGTAAGCATAATTAAACACTATGCATTTTTGGGTATGTAGTTCTTGTAGAACCACTGCTAGAAGTCATCTAGCTCATTTTTTTAGTACAAGTTATTACAAGCCTTTGAGATGGAATATTACTTTTTGCAATTCCAAATGACTAGCAATTTAGGGAGGCCTAAGTTTTAAGGATAAAGTATTTGTCTTTCATGTATCTCATTACAGTAAATCAGCATAAATTAAACAATCAGCTTAGCTTGCATGCAGTTTGTTTTTACAGAAAACCATTACGCCTAATATCCACTTCTACAAATTAGGTAGTTCCTAACATATTTAATGCTTAGATTTAATACAGTAGTAGATAAAACAAAAAACATCCACACACCCACACACACAAATGTGATGTTTTCATAACAATGGATTTCAAAACCAGTCCATACAGATTCTTCTCCTCAGCTTACTAGCGTTTTTAATTCAGAATCAAGTCATTTGATGGTTCTCCAGTTCTGGGAGCCAGATTAGTGACAGCTAACTTAACTTACTTACAGAAACTTCAGCTATTAGGTTGCAACTGAAGTTGAACAAGCAACTGGTATGGAGCTCTTTTTGTTCTGCATTTGCTAAGACTCAGGGAAGGGGCAAACACAGAAGTTACACTGCTAGAATGATGTATGAGGCAACATAGGCCTCTGGTGGGTAACAGGTAACTATGCTAATTTGTAACTGCACTGCTGAGTCTCAGCCCTCTAAGGATGATTAGGTGATGCTATGAAATACAGTGAACAGTTTCTGTTTCCGATCTTCAATATTAGGTTATTTGTTAGTATTGCCTCATGTTTCTGGTTTTCTGACTGATTTCTGCGTTCGTTTCCTATCAATCATCCACAAACATACCTCAATCATATCCTTAAAACTACTTATACCTACTACTACATGACACATTTCAGAGCATTCTGGGGAACCAAATCTTCTCATTCTAAAAAAGTTGCCTATGTCTTTTCATCAGGTGGTTAAATTGTTTCCAGTATTCAGACAAACTGAAATGGTCTTTACCATCTTCTCCTCTATTCGTCCATGGCCTGGGTTCAGGCTAAGTTCATGTATAGATGCTGTGTCTTTCCCAGGCTCAGACAGGTGTAGTAGGATTCATTTGGAATTTATATTAATCACTTAGCATGCTAGTCCTTTGGCAGTAACCGTTACAGTTATCCCTCAAGTGTATCAGTATATCCTTCTTAGGCAGGAGTGTGGTAGATGGCATTTTATTCCCCCCAAATTTAGCAGACAATGCACCACTTTTAAAGTTCCTTGAACACTTCAGGAAGTCTTTTCGAATTAATGTATAGCTAGGAAGCTGCAGTAGTAATATTTTTAAAACAAACCATAGCATTCTTTATTGTACAGTTCAGGAAGGACTTTATAAACTCACAGCTCAGCTACGTACCAGCAACTGAAAGTGGTAATGGACACTTACTTACATTCAACAGGCTTTTTACAAAAATCATATTCAAATAGTACCTCTTTAAAGGAGCCTAAGCTTACAGGGTTTCTGTACATGTCATGATTTGCTTGTAGAGATAAGCTACTTGTATTCAGCTTTTCTTTAATGAAAACAACAACAGCCCTTTAACTAGGCACATTATGTTAGCCAGGGAGTCTGTTCTCAAAGAAAGGCTGATAGTGGGCCTGAGTTTCTATTTTGGAGAGTTTTACTATACATTAGGGTTTAGTTTTGTCAGTTTTGTTTGGATAAAGTACAGTGATAGTTACAGAACAAATTAGATTATAAGGTAGATGATCACAGCGATAGCAAACATACTTCAGAGGGAGTTACATAGGGGTGGGTTGCATTGTCACAGTCAGTCACAGTCATTTCAGTTTATCAATGAACTTTGTCATTCACTTGTGCAGTTTCACAGATGCAAGTTAGGCTAGGTAAAGTTAGTGTCCTCGAAGTAGACAACTACCTACAGTCTAGATAATAATGGAGTAAATGAGGCAAACCTTATTATGACGACAAAACCAGAAACCAGCCATGACAGAAAATACAAGCTACAACTGTAGATGCTAGAGAATGCATGGATCCTAAAGGCACTCATAACAGTATTTTTAAGTAGAAGAAAAATTTCCTGAGCTATACCTCCTTCATCCTACTGATCCAGTAGCTTGTTCTTTAGAAATACCAGAACAGAGATTAACAAGTAGTTGTACCTCATTTTACCAGTCTTAATAATGCAGTACTGTATTCATTGATACCTCCGACTACCACTTCACAGCAGTTCCAAGAACACTTTAGAAACTAATGCTAGAAGATTAATCACTTGGTCTAGGGAAAAGTGAAATTTGTCTTCGAATTCTGGTCAGTAGCACCTTGGTTTGAAGTCTACATTCACCAGACCAGAAGTACTGAATTAAGGTTACCTAACAGGAAATGGCAAGTTTCAAATATGGTATTCATGGTATAAAATAACAGCTACAATGTCTAAAACACAAGGGGAAATATGTCCTGGTTCAAAAGTATTGATCACAATAGAATCTGCAGGACTTTGTATTTAGTAATTCTAACATCTGGTAATGTCTGAGATAGAGTGAGCTTTCTCGTAAAACTATTTTCTTGAAAAACTTATCTGTCTTCCCCCAAAAAGAGGCTGCTTCATTCAGCGTTCCCCTAACTGCTTCTCCTCTTGTCCTTGACCTATTTAATCAGTCATTATGGTTTTGAACCTGTTCAGGAGCTTGATGAGATGAAATTCTGAAGACATGTATATGAAGATGAGCAGCAATCTGTAGGCATACACCAGTGGCATATCTCAGCATATCAAACAAGGATATGAACTTCAAAAGAACAAAACAGAACAGGTTAAAAAAAAAACAACAACCAATCCCACACATATTTTTTAAAATTGTCCCTACTATAAATTCATCCATACTTTAATCAATCTGTCCAAGTGACAAGTTTAGCAAGTATTTTAACATACAGTGTGGTCTATTTTAGAAGGAAAAAAACCAACCCACAACCCAAAACCCAAACAGTTTTAAACACGTACAAAGTCTGATAAACAAAGGTTGTTAGTCTGCAGTTAGCAGAATAACTTCAAACAAATCACTTGAACTAAAGCATAATTACAAGAGAGATCTGTAAATTTACTTTCACATCTCTGTTCCAAGGAAAGAAAGCCAGTCGGCTCCCAAACTACATGTTTACACAGTATCCTGGCACTCCCTCCGCAGTGACAGCTGAAATCTGAGCAAGTCAGAAATGGCAAAGCAGAGTGACAGGGACAGTTCTCAATCTATTCCTTTAAGTATGCTCCAAATGAAAAGTATAAAACAAAATGCTTACCAATGCTATCCATAGAACAATATATTCATCAATGAAACTGTTGAAGTACTGGTCCAAAAACAGAAGTCCTGGCCCAATAAATGCACTGTCCTGAAGACAGATTTCACTTTTTGTCATGTGAGCCACCTATGATAAAGGAAAAAAAAAAAAAAGGAAAAAAAAAAAAGAGAGAGACAAAAACGCACCACTGCAAGATCAATGTAACCACCAGATAACCTCCACCTTAAGTTACGAAGGGGCATGACATCCTTACCCAGCAGCAGCCTGCTGTCTCCGGTTCTTAGGAAGCAATCAGCAGGCAGGCCAAGGGCTTCAGAAAAGCTTCAGGGCCTGCTGCTCCCTGACAATTTATTTCCCAAGGACCGAGTCACCTCTTTCCAGGTTATTCAATCAATATATAGCACTTTAATCAGTGGTAACAGCTATTTGAATTATCAGTTGGTATTTTTTGATACAATAAACATGTTCCTGTCCTTCTGTAGTATGTTACATCTATACCAGTGCATTTTAGGTATTTGCAGGTGTTCCCCACTCTATTTTTTTGGTGCTGTATTTGAAGGGTAAGACTCTGCAAGTGTATTACAGAAAATTAATACTATTCACTTGAAATGTTGTTTACAAGTCTAACTTCAAAATTTTGGCTTTACTTAGCCAAAAGCTAACTAGAAACTAGGCTTCTGCTTAGGTGACAAGACTTGTATTCAGTGTTTAGTAGAGATAGCGATGTACGCAGAGACGCTTTACAGAATGACCAAGAGAAGAAGAAAGATTACTGGGGAGGGAATCTCTTCCCCACACACACCTTGATCCTTCCATATTTAGCATTCTTAAAGACAACTTAAGCTCACCTTTAATTGAGAGGCAGAAAAAGGGTTTTGTAAGAAGTTGGAGACCTAACAGAGGACAAATGAAGAGTCCATACTGGGAAGCTCAAAAGTGGCAGAAGGAAAGTAGTCTAGGTGCCAAGTTTGCCATAAGAAATCACCCTGTCATTCCTTGTTTCCCTGCATTGTGGACACTTGGCAAATATGATTAAAGTACTGAGAGGTTCCTGTGAACAAAAGTGGTCTCAGCATAATATAAATCACGTTCAACTCTATGCTGAACAGCAAAATTCACAGAAAAGCCTGTGAGTGTCCCAGTCTAAAGACAGGACAAACCGCAAAGGCTTACATCCAGAGGAGAGCTGACAAAGGCTTCCACTCTAAGCTAAAGATGCATCTCTCCTGCTAAAGGAATCTGCTGCAGGGAGCAATTCCTGGCTCGCATCTGGCATGATGTGCAATAGCTATGCAGGGTTAGCACCCATCGAGCAGCTCTTGCACATCCACACAAACTGCACAGACCTTGGCTCATGTCTCCACGGGGCCTCCGACCTTGTTCGTGCCTTAAGTTTTTACTGCAGTTTGCTCACCCTGGAGTGCCTGAAGGACAAGGCCTCCTGAAATAGTATCAGAAAACTGTGAGAGCTAAACCCCCCAAATCCTTTCCCCACTACCTTTACAGATTTGCCTCTGGAGCAGACTACCCTCAAAGCTACACATAAAGCTTCAAGGGAACATGGTTTGCTCAGAAGTGTCCATGAGTGAGTTGACATACATACAGCGATGACTGCTGGTTACAAAGACGCAGGGGTCCTCTGAACGAGCCAGGGAGCCAACGTGTTTGACAGAATAGATGAACTGCCTCAAGTTCAGTCTTAAGGTTCAGTCTTATCAGCATTCTCTCTCTTGAATCAAGTTAGCAGCTCACTAGGTGAACTCCTGTTTAGCAACAAAGTCTGTAGAATACCTGTTTTCTACATGAAAAATGTCATGCTGCGGGGCAGGGAACCAGCTGGCTGGATTACTGTTGTTAGCAAATATGTAGAGTAAGGCAGATATTTTTTTTTAATCCATTGATGAGGTTTTTAATTACCAAAGAGATAAAGATGGAAAAGTTTATCTCTTTGTTTTAATGATTAAAGTAAATTCCTATTTCAGATAATTAAATCAGAAGTCACAGCACTGTTAATAAGGCTCGAGAGACCACAGTTACGATGTTAAAGACAGACAGTATATTTCTAGGAGTAAGTGAAACAAAGCTGAAAGTTCTAACCAGTACATTCAACAATAAGTACGTGTTTACATCAGTGTCATATATAATCTCTCTGTAGGAGCCTGAGTCTAGTTCAGTGTCTTGGCCATAATGAAACTGGTAATACAGTGGCAGAGCAGAATGGGAAAACTTGCATGGTGCCCACTGATTCAGCAAGCGTTAAGCCAAGAACCAGTTTAGTTTTAGGAGGTTTAGGACTGAAACAAGATTACTTACCACCAACTTCTGTGAGATTTTAGCATTCACAAATCCAAATGTCAAGACATACAGGCAAGAATGTTTTTCAAACAGCTGAGTTGTAGACTTTTTATAGATCATAATGGCCAGTGTGATAAGTAGTCCAATGTGCAGGCCTGGTGAAAGAACACTTGTTCCCTGAAATACAAATGGACAGAAAATTTGTCTTAGGCTTCAGTCACGAGGTAAGGTCCAGATTTTATATGTATTGCAAATACCATTAAACAAAACCAGCTGTCAAAACTCAGGGAAAGTCCATTAGCATTATGCCAATGCTATTAGCATCCTTTGCAGTGACCGCTAATCAATTTTGTAAGAAAATTCATTGCTGGTTCCTGTGACAGAAGAAATCCAGTAACAGGCAGAGAGAAGGTAGATAATGAAGTCTTTGCTTTAGCCATCCAACACTCATCTGCTTGTCTGCTTAAATGCTTAAACAGGTAAAACCCTTATGATCGTCTGAAATGCAATAAATTATGAGCATAAATTATTCAAACCTCATTCAGATTTTTAAAGCGACTTACTGCTATTGTAGATCCATTCTTTCCAACCCCTCCACCAAAGATGACACGGAAGTAATTGAAAAAAGAAAGTGCTGTTCCGCACAGTATGCCAAAAACTGCAACGAACTTCAGTTCTAAGCCCACCAAAGGGACCTTAGCAGGAAAAACAAGAGAAAGATATTAAAAGTTAAGGATAACACCTTTTTTAAAAAGTTGTTTTAAAAGCTACTGATATCTACTAAACAATTGTTTTATTTAAACTCTCACTTTCCCAAGAACAAGCTTAGGAGGACAGTGTTTGGAATTTGTTTCCTTACTAAGGAGACGACGAATTTCTTTTGTAATGTTTAAACTCAACTTTTGAGTACTTAAGTTCTGGTCTTGAAATTCAGCTAGATCTTACTGTGTTTATTCTTACGATGTTCTTCAAATATTTTTACTACATAAGCAAAAACTTGACACAGACTCTGCATCACCAAGGCACGGGAGTGGGGAGAAGGCTAGTTCCTTCTATTTCACTGGGTAACACAATACTGAACCACAGGAAACACAAACGCCATCTGCCTGCTTTGTGTTTTGGTACATGTTATTTGTATGCTGTATCTTTGCATTTAGAATAGTCTCCAGATACAAATTTTAATTAAACAGTTACCTTTCAGAATCAATTGCAGTTTCAAGGAAACTTCCAAAGGCAGCAGAGGATTTAAAAAAAAGAAGCAGTAATAAATTGAAACCATTGACTATATTTTTGAATATAGATTGTTTTGAGATACAGCATAACTACCACAGATTTTAATACTGAAGAAAAATAAATCATAATTGAAGTCTAATGCACCTACTTTATTTTCCAACATGAAAATAAGCTGTTTGATAATAGAACAAAAGCATCTTGCAAGATGGGGAAAGGAAACAGATTTAGCTAAACAGTTCTTAATTGCTGAGTAAACTCGTGAATTAATTTGAATTACTTGGTGGTTTATATTTAGATTCATTTGCATTGGTTACAAATAGCGTGGAATGGTCTCAGCTCTTCCCTGTGCTACAATCAAGAGGAACTATACATTTCTGAGTAAAGACCCTAGAAAGGATGAAGGTCTTAGTCTAATATACTTTTGATACCATCCAATAAAGTGCATCTTTAAAGATCAGAATAAAAGCCAGAGATAGGGAAATGCTTTTGGACAGAAAACAGTTCTTTAAATATAGATATTCACATTTACATCAGCTGTGACAGAAGTGTTAAAAATCAGTACATCTCTATCGGCACATAAGTGTGGATTACTTAACCAAAACCCCTCTAACTTCATCCCCTAATTTTGTTAGATTAAAGCATTTAATCTCGAAATTTTAAAATAAAGCATCCTATAAATCATTTAACTGAACAGAAATGTATGTCTTACAATAAAATATACAAAACAAAGAAAACTAGAAGAAAAACTATTTGTTAAAGCTTAAGTATCTGCAGAATATTAGATCCAGATCAGAAGTTTATATATGGCAGATGGGGTCTTTTTTCCTCTACGTAGCTCTAAATTTGTGTATACAAAGTCACACCATTATACCCAAGTCAACTACAACATCAAAATAACCTACATTTGTACAATAAGCTAAAACAGAACATTAGACAACTAGTAGGTGTTGATGGTACCTGCACAGGATAGCTTCAAATACCATAGGAACTGTGAACACTTAACAGGAACGGAATACTCAACAGGAACTCTGAACACTTAATATGCTTACCTTATAGTCCCATATTGCTGTGCCACCGTACGCAGATATCAAGAGCAGCATTGTTATGGCTATCTGAACTTCAGTTACATCAACTCTATGAAGGGAAAAAAGGGAGATTTAGTTAAAGAAAAGGTCTTTTTGCTGTAAGGCAGGTGAGGGAGGAAAATCAAAAAACACTGACTTTAAATTATCTCCTTAAAAGTACTTCAAATTAATTCAATGTATACAGAATATGATTTTCCTTGACTGAGAAAGATACTCTATATGGAGGCACACATCTTTGGTTAAGATTTAAAATTAAACCTATACTCCTTATCTAGAGCAAGCTACATGTAACTCTAATGGGGGAAAATCTTTAATGAATACATTGTTAACTATTTGTGAATTTTGTATAAACTTACAGAGTTGTTGCTGTGTAAGTATCAAAACAAAGTTTAAGGCAAGCTTATAGTAAATGCAATCAAACATTTCCATTAAAAGCATATATAGAAGTATGGACTGTGCAGGCTGGTACAGAAGGGATTTCTTTAAGCTATCATGTCATAAAAACTTGACAGGTACAGCCTGCAAAACATGAGGGCAGTATTTTGAGGTCTTAGTCAGTGGATAGCTAAGCATCTGTCCTGTTTCAGAGGACATATAATTGATATCTTGCTTTTTTCCATTAAAAAAAACAAATTTAAAATAGGTGGCTTTGAATGTCCCCTGAAGTCTAGACTCTGCATTCTACCTTCTTTATTCTCAGACAAGATAGCCAAACTCTTTCTGTATTTGATTGATGAAATGTTTTGAGAAGACCTGAATATATTAAAAAAAAAGTGAAGAAGAGGCTCAAGAGAAAGAATTGGTATTTTCAATAAAGCTTTAAAATAAATAAATAAATAAATAAATAGTGCACAGCTAAGTACTGTTTATGCTACTGAAGGTTTTGAGACAGTTACCTGATCTCTGTACTGAAGTTACCAGCAAGCCCTGACAATGGATGTTTAAAATACAACACTTCCTTAAGCAGTTAGAATAAATTTGCTGTATTACGACCAAAGTCAACATGTATTATTACTTGCTTAGCACATGAACTGTTTGCACACATAGGAATCAACTCTTGGCTAATGGAAAACATTTATCTGATCTTGATAATCACAGTAACATTGAACTCTTCTTTCATCAGAAAGATAGTGATAAAATGTGCTAAGTTTCATCACAAGCTTCAGACTCTTAAGTCTTAGAAGAGCCAAAGTTTAAGCTGCAACTAGACAAGCTGAGGTGCTCATCACTGTCCAAAGCCATTGGAATGTGTAGTCCTCTCCTTACGCCACTGCACTCCCTCACTTGTACTAGCTGTTGTGAACCAGTTCAGCTTGCTAGCCTAGTGTAGGTTTTTAATCTTCTGCCCGTTTCATGGACTGGCTTGAAGTCAAGTGACAAAGTCTGTGCAGGGGGAAACAAGACAGTGGTGCTTTTTCCACTAACTGCTGGGCTTTTCCCCCCTCTACCAGGGATGAAGTGTTACATCTGCCCAGTCATTGCTGTAGCTGCACACTGAACTTGTCGGTTACATCACCCAAAAGCATCCATGTACAAGTGCAAGTGTGCGGAGTTTGCACTCTGTACTATTAAAACCTAGATTTCTAAGCTGTACTGCACTTGCTGTTGCTGGTGGCAGGAAGAGACTTGAACTTGAAGTTGAGTCATTACATGTGCGGAAGTTTAGTACTTAATTTTACAGAGGCTTAGACTGTTGGTTGCAACACAGTCCAAATCAGAGTTCAAAGATTTTAATCATACACTGTGTGGTAGGTATTCTGCGTAACCTGACAGTGGCACAGTACCCAGCTGCTCTGATCTTTCCTGACCACCAGCGCTAGGACTCTCTTATCTGTCATTTGACTTCTAAAATCAAATGCTGCTAATTCAGGAACAGCATCAGTGAAAGCTTCCATCCATGGGGTTATGTATTATCATATTTAGAGCAATATACTAATGCCTTCATTTAGACTCTCACCTCTGTGCTTAAAAGAAATAAAATTGTGAGCCTTGAAAAAAACTCTGACCTGTTTTCACTACACACAAATAGCTACCTTGGAGAAAAGTTGTGTCTATTTAACTTCAAACCGTAAGCATGGAACACCAGGCCATTCCGAACTGCTTGTACAATGCAGTATCACTGTATTTAGGTAGAAGCCATTAAGTTTTTAATGAAGAAATTTTTATGTGGTATAGGAGTCTCGGCATCTTCCTGATGTAGGGAAATCATTCTCACATTTTATGCAGGAACAAAAGGCACAGAAAAGCAATCATGTATGCAAAATCCCAGAGCTCACGGCATAGTCCATATCACTTCAGTGCAGTCCACTGTCATGTATGGAAATTATCCTATTTCAGCCATCACTCTAAAGCATCTATTTTTGTTTACAGTACAAAATATCCTTTAAAAAAAGTAGGATGGGTAGGCAGGTAGAAGAGTTATATTTTGTGTGGTAAAATGCATTATCAGCAAATAAAAAAAAGAGCTCTTAGCATTACCACAGAGACAGCTTTCTTTTGTTACAGACGTCGAACAGTATGCAAGAATAGCTGATCACTAGCCTGTGTGCCCAGTGATACTCAGATTTGCTAATGTGCTTCTTGCAGGTCAGAGCTAAGTAGGACTACACACAGGTGACATAGCAAGTGACTAGGATTAGCAGGAGAATAGCCTTCATCTATCACATATTTCCAATTTTGCTGCCACAGAAGTCTCTGATCTTTTCCTCTTTTCAGAAATCGTTACTAAAGTGCAGCTCATTGTTTAAAAACAGCAAAAGGCCATGGCCAGGCACCACCACAGCTGCAGGAGGGTGCAGCAATCCCCACGCTATAGGAAGTTAAATTGAAATTGTTATCTTCTACGTGAATGTCATGACTCCTTCTCCTACACTGCAGTGAGAACAGATGAAATTTCTACAAAGTCATGAACAGCATCACAGCAATCTCTAGAACTGTGACCTAACACAAAACCTGAAGGACATCAAAGCCAGTATGAGTCAGATTAAAAGTAAAGGCCCCCACCAAAACCTGGGGTAATTCTTCAAGCATGATCATAGCTCTGTGGAATGCCTTGCCAAAGGATGCAATGGATGCAGAGTTCATTCGAAGGAAGACTGAAGATGTCTATGGAAGGGAAACCCATTAGCAGGGGAATTTCTCTGAAAATGCATGTCGGTCAGAGTCCCCCGGGCTGAAACTGTTCTGTGGCTGGGAGATTACGAAGGGAGGTACCATAAATGCTTGCCCTGTCCCTACTCCTACACAGAGCATATGTTTACACTGCAGGCAGGACTTCTCTGGCCTGAGCCTGCATAGTGCTTGTATGGATTTTGAGAACAAATCCGTAGATGAAAGAGCCAAACACATGCACACAAAGCACATACAGCTTAAATCAGCTGCTAAAAGAACAAGTCCTCTACTCAGTATTATGCAGAGTTTTAGAATTCTTGACAGGTAAAACACAAGTCTGCTAGGGTGGAAGGGAGATGAGGAAGAAGGTGAGAGGTAAAGAGAGCAGGGAAAAAACAAAGAAGAAATGGAAATCAAGTAGCTAGCACTCTCAGACATTAAGCAACATGTACTTCTAAAGATACCTACTTACTTTCCAAACCTTAGTATGCCTGATACATATGTCTGCCAGTGAGCAGAATAGAACATGAACAGTCCCACAAAACAACAGAAAAACAACCAGTCAGGATTTGTTCCTAGTCGGATTGCTATGCAGGATCCAAGGACAACAAAAACTGAAAAGCAGAAATGAACACGTTAGTCATATAACCTCTTTGCTGGTAGTTAAGAGAAATAAAAAAAAATCACAAGGCATTTTACATCACTGTAACAAAGTAATGACATGACTGATACTTTACTGAGTAGCTAACCTCAGGGACAGTCCTGGCAGGAGACACCGAAACAGAGGACTCTCTTCTTCTAAGTGAGGGCACTGCCTTCTAGCCTACAGCGGTCATTCTCCCTTCTTCAGGCCTTGTCATCTCGTGTTCTTTGCAACACTGACAGCTCCAACTGAAAAGCCCAGCTCAGAGAAGCTAGTAGTTGCACTTCTCTGGGAAGTGAGGCATAAAGAATGTGCCAACTCACAGGGCAAATGTTTCAGCCATTAAGATTTTATAGAAGTACAGGCACTGCCACCAACAGCAGCTAAGTTATGGAAAGTAAAACTGAGCAAGGCTTACTTTTTAAGGACTCCAAATCAACTTTTTTTAAGCTCATTCTTCTAAGGAATATAAATTATCCTTCTCCTAAGTGCCAGGCTGGATGCCCTATTACCAAACTGATATTTTGGCAACTCACTCCTGAAGCGGAATGCTTGGTTTCACATGCCAGCATCGGTCTTTTAGGTCCTTAAAATCCTTTATTAGGCAATCACCTGCACCCTACTGGAAAACACAGGCTATGTATAGCAAAGAATCTCTGAGCATGCTGTTACGGAATTCTTTGTTCACCATTAGGTCATTCAAAGAACACTGTACGTGAAGATGCAGACTAAGAGCAGAACACATGTTACCCAACATGTGCCAGAGGTACTTCTGGAATATCCTCCCTGATACTGGTCAGGGATGCAAAGGTCAGGGGCAGTCTTGGCTGCAGTGACCAGGAGATGGTGAAGTTCTCCTAAAAGAAGGGAACATGCTGACCCTGCTCTGAGCAGCGGGTTGGACTAGATGATCTCTAGAGGTCCTTTCCAACTTCAACAAATCTGTGCTTAATCAGCTCCTCTTGAAAACAGGTAACTTTTTTAAAACTAGGATGGGTAACAGTAGGTTAAGGCTACCTGTGGAAATAGAGTCGCAACCATGATCAAAGAGTTCTCCTAGAGGAGAACTACTGTTTGTTCTTCTGGCTTGCTTCCCATCAATGGCATCCAGAGACTGGTAGATAAAAAGTCCTAATGCACCCAAGATGTATGCCCAAAAAGGTGCCTGAAAGAGATTCACATATAAGTTCACTAGGCAGTTCCCAATTTCTTAGCTGATCATCTATTTCATTAAAGGTAGAATACTATTCACCACAAAACTATACTACATTGTGCTATTTGTTAGTTAATAGACAAACCAAATTCCTTGTGCTAGTCTATATGAATTGTAGTAACTACTATAATGAACTATTCCAGATACACCAGTGAAACACAGGTCCTTCTATTTATTAAAAAAAAAAAAAAAAACCACAAAAAAAACAACCAAAAAAACTTTAACCTCTCTTCTGCATCAACTGACTTTTTTCCACCTTAAAACCACAGTATTTCTATAATTATTTGTATTCTTTGTACTGAAAAATGTTACAAAAATAAAAGTAATCTTTAAAAAAGAAAGTACGAGCAAGGCACTTACTAAAGTTCTCAGCAGTTTATGTGATAGATGCTTAGATGATTTACAACATATAGATATAAAAACCCATTACATTTTACTAAATAAAGTCTTCAGCTTTTAGGGAAAGAGATTTTTTCCAACATACAAAAATTGACTACATAGGCACTTTGGACAAGGGTTTGTAGAAATTAAGTAATTCACTAAATATGAAGGAGCAACTGTCTACTTAACATAGACTATCAGAGTTTCAAAACAAGCTGTGAATCAGTTACATTAACACCAGTCTTAGGTTCAAAGGAACTGTCCTACAGTAGTACCTTTCAAAAGCATTATTTTCACACGCATAGTCAGCATGTCTTTGTCTAGGAATTAGTTTTCACTAAAAATTACTTATAACACCTTTTGAACAAAGCACAGGTAAAATTTTTTCTCAAGTAGTTTCCAGTGGTATCCTTAACATTTAGAAACACTGTTCACGAAAAGAGTCAAAGTTAGGTATAAATGCTGGAAATGCAACTTGCAGGTTAAACAAGTGAACGGCCACAGGCTGAGGCACAGAGCTGAATCCTTTCCCACTCCCAGGTAAGGGACAGCTGCTGTGGCTCTACACCTCTGCAATTCCTCTCCTGCAGCACAAACAGACCAACGTGATTACATGTATTTCCTAAGTCCAGTAAAGGCTATTAAGGAGATTTAGACAACAGATCAAATCTCAGGTCACTGAGATTTGTCCACACTTGTATAAACCCAGTGTCAGAGCTGGGGGGAAAAGGAAAAACAACAGTTGCCCATCAGTTCGTAGGCAGGGACAGGAGAAGACAGCAATAAGAATGCAGATGAGTTGAGCTGCTCCTCCAGACGTTCTGTTTTCTCATCATCATTATACTCACTGACTTGAGTTAGGGGAAAAAAAAAAAAAAAAGGTATGCCTCCAGTCAGACTGATCAAAACACACATCATTCCCAAGAACCAGCATGCTTAAGGGAGGTTCAATTCTGAACAGCTTTTTTGCTGTTATTTAAGACTTCCTCATGTATTCAAGGCTGGCTGATACACTATATGTTATCGCTTAGTTTTGTGCTCTTAATATGGAAACAATATTGTCAGCAAATTTATGATTTTTCTGCTACCCAGTATTTGGATAATTTCATTAACAAAACATTTCTACCATTTAAAGTCAAACGGTTGGCTGCTGTGTCCAGCTTTGAAGTAAAAGACAGTCAAAGAATTAGGGATTCCAGCTATAGGTGAGAAGTCTGGATTTGTATGGACACAGAAATCTAGAAAACTTAGAAAATTCTTCAAAACCGGCAAGGCTGTCTTTTCCCTTCATCCAAGGAAACTAAGAAAAACTGTAATCACAGATCATGTTGGAAGCCTTGAGCAGGTGAAACAGGATGAGTAGATATTCTCATTCCAATGGACATTTAACATGCTGGTATCCGAGACCCCCCCCC